AAGACAGCCCTGCAAAATTAAAATCTTCAAAGCAGAGTGAAAAAAAATAATAATAAAAGAAAACATAAAGAACAAGAAACACAGCATTGGATTTAGGTCGAAAACTGAGAATTTATTTGACCAGATTTTTACAGCAAAATTCCATCACAATGTTTTTATTTTTTGTTGAATGGCTTGGGTTGTGCTTTCTGCAGTCACACCCTGATATGAAAAACCCCCAACTTTCCAAGTTGGGTTTCTGGGGGGTGGTGGTTACAGAGCTCATTGGGGGTAATACTGCAGAGCAGATTCAGTGATTATTTCTTGTAGCTGTGTGTGAAGTTAGTGTGTTTCCTCAACTTATATGACACACTCACACATAATACAGCCAGTATCATGCTTCATCATAAATTAGTGTGATGAGGAAGAATAGGATTGGGAGCAAGAAGTAAAAATAGCTAAAAAATAAAAAACAAAATTGAAACAAAACAACATTTCAGTGAATTTGTAATCAGTGTACAGAGGAACTTGCTTTAGGTTGTGTTTTTTAAATACATCAACATAAAACCACAAACACTGAAAGAAGATAAATATCAGAATAGAGGATTCCTCAAATTTTTTTCTTTTAAATCAATTAAAAGAAAATATTTTGAAGAAAAAATTTGAGGAAAAATGATTTCTTTCTTAATTAGAAAATCAAATTAGAAATAAATATAAGAAATACAGTGACAGAAATTTTAGGACTTTTTCTCTTTTTTTGTTTTTTTATTCATTTTTTTCCAAAGATGTTCAACATTGTCTTTACTATTCAACCATTTTTGATTTCCTACATATATGTATATATGTATGTTTGTATGCCCTAACATGCATAGCCATATATATACATATATGTGTATGCAAGCATGTTCTTTCTCTATACACAACTAAACATAAGCGCTCACAATTAACTCATTCATCCTTATGTACGTATATATATATATGTATGTATATATATATATATATATATATATATATATATATATATATATATATATATATGTGTGTGTGTGTGTGTGTGTGTGTGTGTATATATATATATATATATGTATATATATATATATATATACACACACATATATACATACATACATATATGTGTGTGTGTGTGTGTGTATATTATCAGGAGTGCTGAAACTTTCTTAGCTCATTGAAGAAACCCTTTCAAAAAATTCTGATGTTTGGTCATTTGGTCAGATTTTGGGAAGTGGGTTGGACCAAGAACTTTTTAGCACCTTTTTGTACATATATATATATTTTCAGTAAATAACTGGCACCATTCTAACCTGGTATTTTTCTAATGGGATATATTGAAACACATAAAACATTACAACCAACTAGGTGTATAATTAAAAGCCATCAATAAACAGTAAATATCCCACTGACCAGTGGTCAATGTGGTTGAGAGTTGCCAAATCAGTGATGAAGCACACAAAGATGTCTGACAATCACAGGGGAGCAGAGATGACATCAGCTGCATCTTGCAAATTTTCACTGAGCGCTGGCTTCAATTTTTATTTTACATTCACGAGAATTGAGGATCTGACCTCTGACACTTGTAAGTTAAAAAATTTTTTTGGAAACTTTCATAATTTATTAATAGACCCAAATATTTAGATAAATAAATAATATATATATATATTTCTTTTTCTTTTTACAATTCTTTAGGATCTCTTTTCTTAAAGACAACTCTTTACTTTCTTCTAGTGACAGTCATCTTCCCTCATTTATTACAGTAGTTTTTCAGATTTTTGTAATGATTTTAATTTTATTTAAAGGTCCAGTTTTGACGGCAAACTTAGTGAATGATCCTCCTGTCTGAGTGGGTACTTAAGCAAACATAAGGTCTTAAAAGAAGGACCAAATGTTGCTGAGAAATGCTCCACAAGTTAATAATATTTATTTAGCTCTTACTGTTAAATCAGAACTAAATAAATCTGTTTATTCTGTGTTGTCTTAATAATAGAACACCAAATGCTTCCAACTCAAGATTACACATTGCTGATCTGTTCATATTCCACATTACATTGCTTCTGGTTGGACTTGGGAACAAGTGATCAATTACTTTTACAAAGATAGAAGAAACATTATTATTTTGATAGGAGAAACATAAAGACTGGTCATTAAAAACATTATTTCCAGCACAAAAGAAAAGTATGCTAGATATGAAACTAGAATGTCTCCAAAACATTTTACAGTAAATGTACGCAAATATTTAGGCTTCAAAGATATGCTTTGATAAATAATATAATAGAAATAGGTTGTGAAAAAATGGACAAAAATAATTCTGTATCCTAATTATTTGAAAACTTTCTCTTCAGGGAATACTTTAAAATGAAATCTTGCATTGATATTTGCAATGAAACATTTAAGAAAATAATTTTTGTTGCTACAGCCATTTCACTGAGCTTAGCTGCTAGAGAAAGTCATTTGTTAAAGGAATTGATTTATTGAAGTCCACCAGAGGTTACTTTTGTTTTTTATTTGGTTCAATTTAAGGAATACAAATTAAATCTTATTCCTAATGAGCAAATAGTTCAATAAATAAAAAATTTAAAATACATCTAGTCATGTTTTTATAAGACAGCAACAACAGCAATTAGACTAAATGAGTGAAGTCATTGTGGCCAAGAGAGAAAGATTAGAATGATTATCCAACTGTAAATTTTATGGCTGTTTTTTTGAAAAAGAACCATTCTACAGGAGACTTTTCCTCTGTTTAGTTACACAAAAGTATAATCAGAACTTCTAAAAGATTATCACACACATGTATGTAGGATTGTATATATAAATGAATATTTATATATGAGTATATTTCTACACATTTATATAAATATATAAATGAATATTTACAAATAGATACATGTATGTAAGATTTTGTGATTGTATTCTCACAATATTAAAAGCAAAATCACTATTTGTCTGCAGAGACTAAATTGAAGAAAGAAAATCCTTTAGCAGAAGTAATCCTAAAAACAATATAAAACATTTCACTCATGTTTTTGTATTTAAATAATAAATCTTGAAGAGAAACTGGTTTATCAATTTAGGAGCAAAATCCATGTCTTTTAATGTAAACACAAATAAGTTATGTTAAGTTGACTTAAGTTTAATAAGTAATTACATTTACAAAATTATTGATGATTTACTTACTTGATGAACTATCAACTCATAAGTGCATTTCAAATAAATTTAAAAGTTTTGTAACTTACAAAATTCACATCTTTATTATATTTATGTATTATTGTAGATTAAATTTGTTGATTTTATTGTGACTTCTTTTGAAAGCCACTGATTTTATTATTAATCAATAACATATATAGTAAACAATAAGTGTATGTGTGTGTTTAAATTTCTAGTTTAAAAAATGTGTTATTATTATTTCATATTTGAATGATTTTATATCGCTAATGAAATCATCATTAAAATTTTCTAATTCTAATGATATCATTGATATCTTTTTATTCTTTATGTAAATGATACTGTTTTTATGAAATCAATCAAATTTCTTTATATGTATGTCATCTTTACTGAATCAAGAAAAAAAGATTTCAATGAAATTATTCTTTAGAACGTAAAAAATATTAAAGATGAACAATAAATTCTCAGTTAATTTATACAACATAAAAGACATTTCTATTATAAAAATTAATATTTTTAACGAAAAGCTCTACACTTGAACAACCACACACACACACACACGCATACACACGCACATATCTATCTAGTAATATTAGCTGTTCCTTTATAAGGAAACATTCAGCATTCATTGACCAAACAGCCATTGTTGAACAATTTTTATATCTTTTGTTTTTATGCTTTTAACATCACTTCTTAGATTTTTTTTAATATTTATTTAAATCCTCCCACTTTACACTTGAATAAAAATTCTAACTCAAAATTCATTGTGCCACAGAATTCCTGTTTTCATTATATTTTTTATTGATGCTTAAAATAGATAGAATTCTATTTTTATTTGAAGATTTATATTTTTCAAAATATTCTTTATGAGCTGATCTAAAATCACAGGTATTTATCTGAGTAATTATTTAAATATTCATAAGTAATTATAATTCAGATGTAACATTTTGTTTCCATGTGTAAAGCTTGCTAATGCATATTTCAAAAAAAGAAATTGTCTTCTTGAATTACTGTAACTACTTCATTAACATGTCTTTTAGGAATCTTCAATGATATTGCTTTCATAACAGCAATCTTCATCAAGTGGAATAAGCAGCAAAGAAGCAGTTGGTGAATTGACCCTATCACCTGTGTTAACTAACTTTAGTGTTTTACTGAGATTTGTTAAATGGTAATACTAGCAAACATGCTTTACAAGCTATTGACATATGAGAAGATATTACTTTTGGAAAAATTTTGGTGAATTATTTTAATGGAACTAAATTGCAGATCATTTTATATAGCCTGATCAATTAATAATGGTTTGCTGTAATTAGCTCTATGAAGTGCCCTGGGAGGAAGATATGATCATACAATTATTATTATTACAACTTTAGCTTGTTAGATCTTTGCACTGAATAGATCAGCAAAAAGAAGAAGCAACTTGAAGGAGTATAGAGCATTATTCTAACCAAAAGAAATGATTAACATTATCAGCAGTCATAATTACAATTGTAATAAGCAATAGTGGTTATTACTAAAGCTTTATGACTTTAATTTTTTAATATATTGTCTCTACCTCTACTAATGCTTTCATTATTGTCATTCTATAAGTTGCTATAAAATAACAGAAAAAGAAATAGTATTTGAAAGTTATCCAGATAATTTTTTAGAGTAACTAGCAGAAAAAAAAACCAAATCAGAAAACATTGCTTTCAATAGAATGACCAAAAAATGAAAGAAAGAAGGAAAGAGACAAATAACAATAAAACAAATTGATAAAAGCTAATTAAAATGAAGCTGCCACCCTTTCTCTTTCAAGAGAATTTCATTCCTTTTGTTGCCGTTAATGAAAAGAATATTGTCTATTCTTTCAGTTTGTGCCATTCAGCAATCTGCTTACGTGGACAGTTCATTACTTCATTCCAATGGTGCAACTCTTGACCCAAAGTGCGAGCACCCACTTCCAATCTGCCAATGACTTCGTTCTTTGTCATTCGGTCATAATCAAGAAGCAGGAATTCAAGGCTGATATTCTGTAGGCCCTCATTATAAGGAACATCAAACAGGAATGATTCATTGAACACAGGATTCAAGGTGCGTTTCTTCACATGTGTTTTCTTTTTTGCAATTCTCTGCCCATTGTACAGAAGGTAAATCTTCACATAGGGATCTGCAATGAAGTTAAAAACAAACAAGAATTCATATTTATTTTCAATATGTTCAGTTTAAGTGCTATACATAAAACTGAAATAAGTGGAACATTTTCATTTGAATTGATTTAATGGCAAAATATACACAAATTGTATAAAGAGATTTACAAGTATGAACAAGAAAAAGATTTAACATTTTCATAAATTTATAAAATCAGTTAAAAATTATCAGTACTAAAATATTACATAGAATGAGGTAATTTTTATTCTTGAAAAATATGTTTTTGTTTTAAGTATGAAGCCAATGATTTATGAGGAAAATTAAAAAAAAACTTAAGGAATATAATTTGAACATTTAGTTTTACTAAATTCACTTTTGTCACTTAAATTATTTTGATAAAAAAAGTAAAATGTTTTGTATGTCATACAAAGCTATGTAAGTAAGTATTTGTCTCTCACCAGACCATATGGATATGATATGATACAAGGTCACTAGTTTAATATAGAAATTAGGCTATTTGCATAAATCTACTACTTTTACTGTTTGGATAGTCAGATTCCAGATTCTAATTATATTTGATATCCCTCATCAATTAAAAGGTAGGTTTGACTACATTGTACAATATGATTTAAGTATTCTGGTAACCAAATACTTTGGTTAAAAAATATTTTGTTTTTACACTAAGAAATAAAGTTTTCATAAGCAAATAGACAAAAGATTATTTTGTAAAGCACTATCACTTGCTGAGATTATTAATTTCTTCTTGTCCATTAAATTCTGACTAAATTCAAATCAGTTTCCAACTTGTTTTCTGATTTAATTTTTTTTTTATTAGTTGATCAGGAAGAAACACATGCAATAGTATTTTAATAAATTGTTTCAAAAGTACTAGTAAATATTTCTATATATTCTACTATACACAGTACATGGGTGAATATATAAATTAAGTAATGATTGTATTTAACATTCAGTGTGCTTTTATGGGCACTTATAAAAATGAATTCAGCAATAATTCACTCATACACAAGGGGTTACTGAATGTGAAAGAATGTAAGAAAAAGAAAAACATTTTTAAGTAGAGAAAACAATAAAATAACAAAAATTAAGAAGACAGAAGGTAGCAATTACCATTGCATTTAAATTTTTGAAGTAGACTGGAAAGCATGAAGCTGAAAGAGTTTTCAACAAATGAGAAGTGTGACAGAAGAAACTGTTTGCATAGAATTTACAGTTACATCTACCAATTTCAACTGTAAAATACTGAGACCAAGCTGCTAATCTAGTAATATGCTTAAATTCAAAAAGTCTAGGTACTGAAGAGGAAACAATTACCATGAAATAATCATAGAAAAGGCATAGGGATGCTAAGTTATGGCGGTAGAAAAGTGACTGTAGCAGGGATGAATGGTCAACTTATAAATATGTAAGATAGATTCAGGTGAGAAAAATTGTCATGTGATGTGAATCAGCTTTCCTAGTAGCTGATCTAGCAATTGATTCTATATAATCTTTCCAGTTCGAGTCAGTGGAAAACACAATGAGAATGCACAATTAGTTACTCTCCTGGAGCCTAGCATCAGCCATACTGATAGAAGGCAAAAAAGGTTCTCTAATAGGATTAAAAGAGAGCAGTTTCACCTTGGAGGCATTAAAATTAACAAGCCAACTTGCCCTAGTTAACAACAGATTTGTTAGTCACTTTTTAGATCAGCTGCCAATTTAATCTTATCAAAGCAATCAGACTTAGCATGAAGACAGGAGTAAATAGTTTTATCAGCATAGATACAGAGTTGAGAACTGATGTCATTGGGAAAGTTGTTAATGAAAATTAGGAATGTAGGTCCAAGGATGGAACTCTGAGAGAAACCTGTATTAATACAAAACGATCTAGTACAGTGGCCATTCAAGACAACTTTCATTTCTTAATTTGATAAGAAAGAGTGTATAAGATAAAAAATTAATCTAGAAATACCATAAGTTTTCAATTTGTGAAGAAGGCAAGCATGCCAAATTCTATCAAATGCCTTCAAGATATCCAAAGAAACAGCCCAAGCTTCATAATTTTTATCTAAAGCTTCATAGACTTTCAGCAATAAACATTAATACACCAGCACTGATATAGAGAAGCAAGAGCCATATTGCTTAACTGAAAGAAGAGTCTGCATGGTGAGGTGCTTATCCAATTTGGAGTTGATTAGCGTCTCTAGTACTTTGCCAAAAAGTGGTAGAAAGCTAATAGGTTGATAGAAGGATCAGATGGTTCACCTGAGTTCTTAAAGACAGCATTTACAGAGGAGGATTTTCAAGAAGTAAGAAAGCAAGAAGCAACAAGGTACTTATTGTAGAAGTTAGAGTCAACAGGAGCCAGTTCATGAGTACATTTCTTTAGGACTATTGCAGGGATACAATCAAGTTCACATACTTTGTTGAGATCCTATTTGAAGTGGATTGAGTTATATGTATATCACACATTAAAGACCCAGTTTTAATGGGAAAATCAGGTAAAGATACTGTGATACTCTGTTATTAGATTTCTTTCTGATTCACTCTGCATGTCAGCCTGCATGTGAGTGCTGAGAAGGCAGAAAACAAAATAAAAAAGTGGTTTTCTGTGCATGGGCTCTGAGCATCACATCTTGTTCATGAAACAAATTCTTGCAATGAAAATAATACAATAGCCAATCACAAATGCTCCTGCCAAAAAAAAAGATAATACTGGGAACTACCAAATTTGCTTAAAATAAGACCTCTGGTAGTGATCAATGCAGTTGTGGGCTAAAAGTTATTCTGTCGCTGTTACTGCTATGACTGCTTCTCTCATTACAACTGTGACCTTGCCCAAGCTTCTCTAATCTCACCTGACTTTTCACACATGGAATCCAACACCACCAGGCTTCTGATGCCAACCACCATGATTTATAACACCTTAATATCATCACTACCTGGCTCCAGGAATCCTTTGCTAACACCACCATGACCCTGTTTCATTGATACCACATTCGACCTGGATCCAACAGTAACATTCCACCTGACCGACTACAGATCTCCCTCACTGTCTCCACCGCGACCTCATTTCATTGATACTACATTTGATCAGAATCCAACAAAGACTTTCCACTTGATCAATGTTCATCAGCTGCACCAAATTCATAAATCAACCCACCACCATGACCTTGATCGATCAACATGTCACCCACCTTACCAGGCAGTTTGGCTTCAACATCTTGGCATCAGACAACTGCCAGCACCATCAATACCATCACAGATATGGATTTCAACATTAAAGAAAAGCATGCATCAAAGCTCACCAACAACTCTAGACCTATCCTCTGATCCCCAACTGTGACCTCAGTCAAACCAACCCAAGAAATCAGTCAACCTACTGACAACACCTTTTCACCTAATTGCTTTCCTGACAAAAATGACATATTAACAATTTTTGCTGATTTTGTAACAACTCCAAATATATCATATTCATTTGGCAAATACACTGTTGAAAAATTAATCCTTGTTATTCCTTTCCTTTGCAACCAAACACACATTATAACAATACACTGGATAAGTCAAGAGTAGAAACAAAAGAGAATTTAGGAGCAAAGCATTCTGCTTTATCAGCAGATAAACATCTCAAAATGAGTGAAGAGAGGAGGGATAGAAGACTTACTCCTATTTAAAACAATAATACAGTCACCAGTAGTGCCTCATTCTGTCAGCAAACTAAAACTTCGCATCTTTGAGGACACATTTGCAATTATTATGAGCAGACACAAAAAAGAATCTGTTATCATAAGAACTATCATGCTATTACAGCTGTGGTGATTATCATCACCATCAGACACATACATACATACAGATCATACGACAAGCATTCATTGGCTAATCTCCTCAAAACTAGTTTGCTGATTGATCAATTCTGACCAATCAAATCGCCTGCATGTGTGGAATAATTTTCCCATGCACAAGCTTCAGAGCCGATCACATGATACACCACCTTATATAAACAAAACATGAGTAAGCCTTCTCTATCTGTTCTCTTCATTCATCTTTTTCCTTGCTGCCAAGATGTAATCTTCAAGAGCTCTCGTCTTAACCTTGCGATCAGACGTTAAAGAACATTACCAACATTCACGCAAGTACGAACTCTTAACTTTTCTGAACTCTACCAACTTTTCCAACTCACATTTTTTAACATGCAACAGGAACTTTAGTCTTCTAAAACTACAGTTTAATAATTAATTCAACTTCGTGAGCTCCGGTACAAATATTTCCCAAATCTAAGAGACGTAACTCTATCAAACCTTTAGTTTATATGCATGTACATCAAAACAAATAAATTCAAATGTTATGTTTTGAACCATTACGTTCTGTTTTGTATTTTTGCTATGTGCTATTTTACGTCAAATATAAATTGCATGTGACCACAACATTTGATGGTGGCCTCCAGCATCTTTGCTTGTCCTTTTCCATGTCATTCCTAGTCAAAGTTAAATAAATATAATGGGACCTCGCTACATGTTTGTTGACCCTGTCATCCGTTTCGCACCTCGCCACATGTTTGGTGACCACAACGTTTGGGAAAGGCCTTGCTACACAGCCGTAAAATTGAATAGGCAAGTGTGAAGCAAGGAGATTATTGTGGTTTCATCTGTTATTTCTTAGAAAGTACAAAAGCATCAATGCTGGTTTTAACCCAATAGGAAGGTTAAAAATATCAATCCAAGGGGTATTTCAAAGAAAGTCATAAAATGAATTCTAATCAGTAACAGTAAAAGTAAGAAGTCTTGTGAATAGGAGATTAATGTCTAATATAAACAGACACTACAGCATGATGTGAATTGCCGAGAGAACAGATTTGTGATGCTCGATAAGGGCAAAGAGAGGAGGTAAGGAACAAATCGTAAAGAAGCATATTGATCAGAATTATTATGGAAACAAATAGGGAAATCTACTATTTGACTGAGGACTGAGAAAAACTGAAAGTATGAATACTGACAACATCAGTAATATTAAAATGATTAC